GTTTTTTTTTTTTTTTTTTTTTTTTTTGGTATTTTTAGACTGAGCAATCTATCGTCCACTGTTTTTTTCTCATTGCCTCTTTCACGTCACATCTTCCATCTGGGATCACTTCTGCCCAAGCACACCCTTTAGAATATTCTTTTCAGTGTCTTGTTGGTGGGGAATTTCTCAGGTTGTTTGGTCTGAGAAATCTCTCTTTAAAAAAAGTTTACTTATTTTTGAGACAGAGACAGAGAAAGAGAGAGAGAGACAGAGAGAACAAGCAGGAGTGGCAGAGAGAGAGAGAGAGAGAGAGCGAGCGAGCGAGCGCATTCCAAGCAGGCTCCCCGCTGTCGGCACAGAGCCTGACACGGGGCTCGAACCCGTGAACTGCAAGATCATGACGTGAGCGAAAATCAGGAGTTAGATGCCCGACCCAGGGAGCCACCCAGGCGGCCCTCTCTTTTTCTAAATCCATACTCTTGACAGCTATCTTCATTACATACAGATGTTTAGACTCAAAGGGGGTTTGTTTTTATTTGGTCTCAGCACACTGAACGATGATTCCACTTTACCTTCCCTGTTGCTACTGTTAACAAGTCAGCAGTAAAGCACACTACTGCTCCTCTGGAGGTAATTCGTCCTCCTCCTGTCTTGTGTTATGTTTCTCGGGTTTATTTATACTTCTTAGCAGTCGCTGGGCTTCTTTTTTTTTTTTTTTTTTTTTTTTTTTTTTTTTTTTTTTTTTTTTTTTTTTTTTTTTTTTTTTTTTTTTTTTTTTTTTATTTATTTTTTTATTTAATTTTTTTTTTTTTCAACGTTTATTCATTTCTGGGACAGACAGAGACAGAGCATGAACGGGGCAGGGGCAGAGAGAGGGAGACACAGAATCGGAAATAGGCTCCAGGCTCCGAGCCATCAGCCCAGAGCCCGACGCGGGGCTCGAACTCACGGACCGCGAGATCGTGACCTGGCTGAAGTCGGACGCTTAACCGACTGCGCCACCCAGGCGCCCCAAGGGCTTCTTGAATCTTTAGTGGCTTTGGTCAGCTCTGGAATCTTCTCAGTCATGATCTCAACAAACAGCGCCTCTTCTCCATTTCCTCTCTGTTCTGCTTCCAGAAATCTATTAGATAAATGTTAGACTTTCTCAACCTAGCCCACGTTTTTGTCTGGACAGGCCCTCCTCGTGCTTCATTTCTAACAATCCCTTCTATCCTACCGGCTGGCTAGCGCTCTCTCTCTTGAGGAGCATCCAGTCGGCTATTAAACCCATTCAGTAAGTTTTAAATTTTGGCTGCTGTACTTTTAACAGCCGCAAGGTCTATCTGGTCATTTTTAAGGTCATCTAAAAAGTCTAGGGCTCACTGCGGAGATTTTTCAATGTTACCTGTTGTTCTTTTAGCCGAGTAAACACTTTTCCAACAAGAATCTACTGATTCCGAGGTATGAAATTCCTATGGGTCTGCTCCTGCAGTCTGCCGTTTCGGCTGGTCCTCAGGCACCTTGGCTTGCTTCTTGCGGGCTTTTTTTTTTTTTTTTTTTTTTTAACACATACTACAGTGACCTTAAAAAAAATCTTCTGGAGATACCTGGAGCCCGAGAATGGAAGTGTTTTCTACAGATGCGACTGTCATTTGCTTTTGCCCACAACCAGAGGGCAGTGCGCCTATTCCGACACCAATGTAAACGGAACATACGATGGGAAAATGTAGTATCATGCAAGTAATGAGTATTTGCACTGTAAACCCATGTTGCTTCTCTTGGAACGTGGCTCACTGAGAACGAATCTAGTACTGCAGACAGGAGCGCACCACGGTTGAAACCGACGGGTCATGCGGCTCACAAAACTCACCACTCGAGCAGTAGTCCAGTCACTACCCCTGATTGTAAATTTAACAGTATAATGAGCCCTTGGACCTTGAATCTCCTGGCTGCGAAACGCTACCAATTTGAGGTACTGCTCAAAAGCTTGGGTTGAGCGCTTTTCTCTGTGGAGAGCGCCATCACAGAGGTACTCTGTGGAAAGTGGAAAAAACAAAAAAACAAGAATTACAGAACCCGAAGATCAAAGGGAGCGTGCAAGCGAACTCATCCTCTTGGAACGGCACCACAGAACTGTTAGACCTTCCATGACCACGGAGTCCAAACTCTGATGCAATGCCAGTGTGCTCTTACGGCCACTAGAGAACCATCGGCCGGGTGAGGGAGCAAACACCCTCAGTGGATGACCTTGAACACTTGAGTACAGGTACGCCTGTCAAAAGTGCGTCATCACACGGAGCTGAAATCCACAGAGCAGAGCAGAGGCCGCAGAATCCAGCCACGGAGAGTTCAAACCCCAACCATTTACTGGCTGTGCGACCTTGGCAAAGTAACTTTACCGTTCCGTGTCTTAATCTATAAACAGCACCTGCCTCAGAGGGTTGTTTGAAGATTTCAATGAGTGGAATGAAAGGCACTTGGAACCCCGTCTGGCACACGGCAAGACCAGAAACCCAGACGGTCTCAGGCTTTACAGAGCCCTTCCAAGATGTTACCAGAGCGGTCATGTCTGTCCATGCTGCTTCACCCCTGTTCTTTTATTTACTCCTCATGGGATATGCCTTCGTTTGCCACAGTCCTTTAGGAAACTACTTTCCAAATATGATCTGCTGGGAATGGTCACTCCACTGGTCTGGACAGTATAACTGGATGACTTTCTTTTATTCTGTTGTACGTGCACATAGGGTTTCTGTTCGGGTATAATCTCTGGCTATTTCCCAGTGCATCCAGCAGACCCAGCGTCCAACAAAACGCTTCAAGAAAAGAATTATGGAACTTGATTATGGAAACACAGCACTCATTACATCTGCCTCTTAAAATTCTTTTCTTTTTAAATTTTTTTTAAGTTTCCTTATTTGTTTTTGAGAGAGAGAGAGCGCGCGCGCGCGAGCAAGGATGCACACACGTGTGCATGCACAAGCAGGGAAGGGGCAGAAAGAAACAGAGAATCCGAAGCAGGCTCCGGGCTCTGAGCCGTCAGCACAGAGCCCGACGCGGGGCCCGAACACGCAAACCTAGAGATCATGACCTGAGCCGAAGTCGGACGCTCAACTGACTGAGCCACCCAGGCACCCCTGCCTCTTAAAATTCTTAATGCGTGTTAACATACTAAACGCTGAGGAGTCGTTGGTAAAGAAACACGTCAAACTTTGTCTGACCTCAGAATTTCCCATACTAATTATTCAGTGAGCCCAAGACCTTTACCTTTCAAAAAACAAAACAAAACAAAACTCCAAGGCTTGTCAACACCACAAGGTCCTCATGCTGGGTTGGGCATAATGGGAAATGCTGTTCTTGGCTGTTTTCAGTGATTCCTCTAGTCTGTACTTGCTCAGTTGGGACCTGTGTCCTTTCCCTTTGGTCAAGGACTGGGCTGTTGGTTTGGGCCGGCTGTACCATCTCATCAAAATTTTTAAGAATTCTGACTCTCCAAGCCGAGAGATTAGCTGTTCTTCCCTGCTTTGTGTCCTTTTGGTGTTTTTTACACTTCTTTTCTTTTGACATACTTCTTCCATTTGAAAGCACGTGTTCTGTCTTCA